TCAGCTAGGGAGATTAGAGTGGCCAGGTAACTTAAAGTGAGTTTAGCAATAGGATTAGCATCTCTTTGCATCAGATTCTTTTGGAAGGGGCGCAGGACCCAGGATTGTCCCGTCGACGCTCCGCCTCTGCATCAGAGATATTTCAAGTGATGTTTTTTCCAGGACTTCGCACAGAACAGAGCATGAATAATTCCATGCAGTGCTCTTCTACAGGATTAATAAGATGTGGTGTTTATTGTGTACTAAGTCTAAAGTTAAGATGTTAACAAAATTCTATTGGCATGTCAACTTTCTCAATCAACATACCTTAAATCTGTACGCAATTTCTATCTATATTCCGTTAGCCTTTCAGTGACAATGAGACATGTTTATTGCATACTAAGCTTAAGATGAAATAACAAGATCAGCATCCAACATTCTCAAGGGCCTGCCCATTTTTGATTCTGCTCCCATTCAGCTCAAGGCTTTCATGGTCAAATCAAAGGAATGAAAACATCCACGCGTAAGTATCCGTTTCGAATGTGCTCCATGCTTGGTGCATCGAAGAACCATTTTGCACGCATGCACATGCCTAATTTTAGCTACTTTTACATCACTAGGCTGATTGCTAACAAGCTGACTGAATTCCGGTGCGCTGAGGATGTACTAAAACCAGCTGCAGGGCGAGGTTTACCTGTGCGACGAACATGGGCTGGAGCTCGAGCTTGTCAATGAAGACCCTGGCGATATCGGAGGTGGGCGAGCGCGACGCAATGGCCATGTCGACCCCCTTCTCCTTGAGCGCGCACATGATGCCCTTGGCGTGGCGGTACAGGCTGGGCGACTCCCTCTTGGAGCGGCACTCGCTGGTGAATGAAAAGCGTCAAATCACCGGCGGAACCCAGCGGAATCAGGGCCGAGGAGCGGGGCGTACCAGTAGAAGGGCCACAGGGTGTAGTCGAGGTCGAAGACGACGAGGCGGGGGAGCACCTGGAACAGGCCCAGGATCTGCAGCGCCTCCGCCTTCACGCGCTCGTCGCCCATCCCGGCCGGCCGGACCCCTCCTCCTCTCCTCGCTGCTGCTGCGGCGGCCGTGGCGGAGATTGCTCGCCGGCGGCAGGGAGGGATTGGTCGCCCGGTTCAACGGCGTTCGGCTGGGGCAGGTTTTTTTTTTTTTTTTTTGAGGCAAAGCTGGGGCAGGTAAAAAGAAAGGATATGCCGACGACGAGATCAAAACGCGTGGAGGAGGATGGTGGTGAAAAGGCCAGACGACCAGGCCCATCCCGTCCTGGTGTTCTCTACTGGGCCGGTCCAATCAAGCGGGCCGGGCTCTTCGTGTTCCTCGCCGTGTCCGGGCCGGTCAGGCCCGCACCACTCGGGCTCTCTCTTCTCTCTCCATAACACCAGACCGGGAGGGGTTCTGCTCCCCAACCGGCGCCACCGAAACCCCTTGACGGCCGGACCACCGCTGCCGCTGCCGCCCGTCGCCGCGCCCCTCCTCGGCGTCCTCCGGAGGACGCCATAGTATTGCGGCATCCCCTCCACACCCGCTTCCATCAAGCGGTGTTCACCAGCAGGGGGGAGGGGGGCTCGATTCGGCTGCTGGGAGCGGAGGTAGGAGCGGCCAAGATGTCGGATTTCCAGACCTCCACGCACCGGGAGCGGTGGATCTTCCAGCCGCAGGACCTGGTAGCCCTCCCTCTCCGATCCATTCTCTCTTCTTCCCTGCTTGGTGCCCAGGGTTTGCTTTGGCCTGGGACGGCTAGCCTATACTATAGCATCCTCTGGACATCACATGGTAATGGCATGCTGATGCCGTTGATTCTGCTTTGCAGGTGAATAAGTGGACGACGGCGAACCGGCGTTCAGCGGAGATCCTCGCCCAGGTTGGCTTCTCCCGACGCCATTGCATTCCTTCACTTGTTTATTTAGCTTATGTGTGGCTGCTCATTGTTTTTGTTCCCTTTGTTTAAATTTGTGAAGTATGGGACGACGAGATTGAAGGTGGACCCTGTTGATGGCTCGATATCGAACCCTGAACCTCTGCCTGATCATGGTACACGCCATTTGATGGTTTCTGCTGCCTATATGTTTCTATGAGTAGGCATGAGCTTGAGAAGCGATGTCTATGCACTGATTTCACTTAAAAGTTTGGTTCTTTCATAGTTGTGCTTGTTTCCTTGTTGGCCAGTGTTAATAGTAAGTTTTTGCAGAGTTTGTTCGACTACTCGCATTTAGATGTATTATTATAGTGTTAAACTACTGTTTTGAATTCAGTTGTTGGGAGCTCGAGCGTGAAGCCTCTATCCTGCGAAGAGGAGCAAGTGATGCGGATATTTTACGAGCAAAAGATTCAAGAAGTGTGCAGAGCATTCAAATTCCCCCACAAAATTCAGGTAAAGCATTCCTCTTCCAAGGTACCGTGCCTTTGCTAACTTAGTGATTGAATGCTAACAGTCAGTTGTTGCTTTGCAGGCTACAGCGATAATATATTTCAAGAGATTCTATCTACAGTGGTCTGTAATGGAGCACCACCCAAAGCATATTATGTAAGCAATGGTGATAACATGAATAATTTTGTGGTTAGGAACACATAAAATCCTGGTCTATGAATACTCAGCTAAGATTTACTTCCCTCTCAAACGTAGCTGGAAAACTAGGCAAACGAATGGGACCCTTCATACTTCTGTGCAAAGTGAATATGTATATCCTAATCAAAAATAAAAGTATAAGTGTCTGTAGTGTCTTATATTCCTATCAATGTTATTTCCTGACCCTGTTAGTATTTGCCAGTGGCCAAGTTAATCAATTTTGTTTTCACAGGTTAACCTGTGTATATGCTTCTTGCAAAGTGGAAGAAAATCACGTTTCTGCTGAGGAACTTGGCAAAGGGATTCAGCAGGACCACCAGATTATTCTAAATAATGAGATGATTGTTCTGAAAGTATGCCATTTCCATATTCAAGTTTTATAGCACCTCCAAGCAAACAGAATGTGACACTGAATTTCTTGCTTTCTTGCAGTCTTTAGATTTTGATTTGATCGTTTATGCTCCATATCGTTCTATCGAAGGATTTATTGATGACATGGATGTAAGTTCCGTGTGAACATTCCATTATATTCAGCATATAAGTCCATCATAATTTAGCTTATCCTATGGCTGCATTGGCTAATTACATTCTTTTTTTTTTTGTTCTATGAAGGATTTTTGTAGGGCAGGTAATGGTGCACATCAACGGTTGAAGGTCATACATTCCTTTCACCCTTTTGCCATACTGTTCAAGAACACATTAATAAAATGTTTACTGTGTTAGCCTTTTCTGACATGTGTACGTAAATATATGTTCTATATTTTACTCGATGTTTCCCGACAATCATTTACATAGCCATAGTATTTTATGAATGGCAGTCACAAATTCTATGTCCTAATCATTGAGAAAATAATGTGAGTTCATGATAGAAGTCTGGTTTGGTTAACCCTAAACTTGTAGATGAAGGTAAACTGTGAATGCTGGGGGTTTTACTAATTGATAATACCAAGATCTTAGCATAAACTTATGAGTTAAGCATTAGTTTAAATACTTTGATATCAGAATAAGGAAAAGAATGAACTATTATCTACAACCTTGGGTTTCCTAGGTGACCGTCAAAACATTGATAGAATAATGCATGAATGTTAGTTCTGAAAATTGAGTTGGTGCCACATTTGCTTTTGGAATTGCATCAACAGAAGGATACAGAAAACATGAACCATCAAGTCTTATCGATTTACTATATCACACTATGGCTAGTGCTGAACATTAACTTTCTTCACTTCTTTCTACTAGATAGTAAGACACGTCATACACCAATTCGCCACATAAGCAAATAAGGCAAATAAATATTGTGAACTAATTTGTGTGACTTTCTCAAACAATAACTAAAGCATCCATTGCCAAATTTATAAAACCAGTTTATAATGTAAAAGAAGCTCTTTCACCTTATTTCTTACATGGAAGGAAAAAAAGGTAATATGAATAACAAAACATGCAAGCTTTGTGACTGCCCTGCTTATGCATCAGATATTTGTATTGTAGGATTTGCATCAAACTGCGAATTCTGAGGTTGACACAATGATGTTGACTGATGCACCTCTTCTCTATACTCCTGGACAGGTAGTCTTAAACTATAAATACTATGGTTAATCTTCAGTTAGTGTGCTACTCCAGTACATCACTGTCATTTTCATAATTTTCTTGGTTAATGTTCATCGATTAAGAAAGCTTAATCCTCAGCGTCAAGCTTAGGGTATTCAAACCCCAGAGTTTCAACCAATTTCTTATGTGATCTGATTGGATAGTGTGTTCCATTTTTTACAGTTGGCTTTGGCTGCTCTGTACAAGTCCAACAGTGCACTCAGTGTCCTTGATTTTGAAAGGTCGTAAACTTATCTTTGTTTATTATGACCTTAATTTGTCAGAACTCCGTGTTTCACGATGCAATATTTTATCTTACATTTACTCATTGTTGATCTTGCTAAATTCATTGATTGTTTGCAGATACTTGGAAAGTGTTTTTTCAAGGCAACACTTTGATTGTCCAGTCGAACAATTTATTCAGATAATCAGTTCAATCAATCACCTGGTAAGAATGTTTACCTGGCTTGGCACAAATACAGTTTATAACACAATCATGTAAACTCCCACCAATAGTTGTTCTTGAACTGTGTGTTTCATTTCACCGCTTGAACACTTTGTGTTAACAAAAAAGGATTAACCAAGGTGGTGCGTGGTTGAACATATGCCACTCTTTAGGAGGGTATTTAAACATTGATGCCCTTATCAGTACCTTTGGCGTTGCCTCTATTATCTGTGTATGTATATATGCAGGTTAGCCAGCTTCAACTACCTGGCACGAAAGAAATGAGGCATGCTGATCGCAAGCTGAAGCATTGTTTGGATCCAAGCTCAAGCTCTCATGATGAGTAAGCTCTCTCAACTCCACAAGCCTGCATGCCCTCAATGATTGTTTGTACCGTCATGTACTCATGCTTGCTATCTGAAAACTTCTACAGCCACAAGAAGAAAGAGAAGAAGTCAAAGCACAAATCGAAAAGGACTGCCAGTGATGCCCAGCTGTAAGTACCTTGCACACCAACACGTGTGTTTGACGATGTTCTTTCCAGTTCTTGCATCTGAACTTATGCCCCGCATAATCCTTCTCCGCAGCAACAGCTAGAAATCGTGCGGTTGGGCAGCCATGCCGTGTAGGAACTAGCTCTGGAAAGTGTGGTGGTAAGGACTTGTACGTGCTCCGTGTGTTAGCCACTTTATCATGCAACCAAAATTAACGTATGAAGTATTTTTTGTCTACTCAGGCTCTCCGGTTGATGAGGTTTCGATTCCAACTTTCTCCAGCCATCAGATTGGTGATGCTCAGCTGATCTCCTCACCAGCCCAAGTCTTGGCCAAGGACAGGCAGTTTTCAGATGAGGCGTCCTTTAGGCCCTTGCACGTCCTGCGCCAGCGAGTGCTGTGCATTTTGTAACTCAATAATAATTTTATTAGAGCGGCTTAAATCTTGGGCGCGAGGGGAGAGAAACTTCGAGATGTAAACCATTGGATGCTATTTTGTTGTAACTTTATTTTATTAGAGTGACATAGCATAACTC